TTAAATAATACATGATTAATATAATAATTTAAATAATAATTTTTTTAATATTCTATCTTTTCATATTTGATCTGAAAAAAATTTCGCTTGTGGCGCATTAATGGCCCCTCCCTTGACAAATTCCTGGATCCGCCAATATGCAATGTAGCCAAGTATGGAACGAGTGCCCGGGTGAGCCCGTGCCCAACTACGGCTCAAAGCACGACCTGTAAAGGTGAGGGAGGAAAGAGAGAAAAGAAAAATTCTAGCCGCGTGCTGGGTATCCTGTTAGTTCCGTTCGCCCGCTGACACAATACTACGTGCAGTTACGCTCCGGGAGCGCTCTACCAAGTGTGGCTCGCACAACCGCATGTTCGGAATAATTAAAAGACTCTGTTTCTCTCGTTCTTGCTTGCCTTCGGATGCGTAGGGCTCGCGAGCCGCGATCTATCGAAAGTTTATCGAAGCGTTGATCTCCCGACGTGCTCCAGAGACCAAGATGACCATCCACGATCTGTAAAAGATTTTTATTGCGACATTTTTCATTCACATGAGCATTTGCGTTGCCCTATTCCTCATTAAATTACGTCGTATAAAATCCGATTGTATCAAGCGATTGTATGAGCGCGAATTAAATAAGCCTGGTTTAATGACTCGCCATCGTTAGCATAGAGAATTTAATTAACTGAAATTAATTAACGCAATAATGTTAGCGTAACAGGTCCTAAATATAAAAGCTTCGTAGGATTCATTACGAAATTGTAAAAATTAATTTGTATTATGGTGAATGAGATAATTCGGTTGCGTGATGCAAATATGTTTTCTCGTGTGTGTACATCAAGCTCCGGCGCGGTTTCGAGAGGATAGTATATGGAAGAAAAAGCGGCGTTCAGATTCATAATAACCGGAAGCGCGGCGTTGTTGCAGTGGCGTCGTTATTTAAATTAGCCGCGCTATTCATTAAACAGTTAATTATACTTAATTGCGCGCCGCGTGGCGTGTTTTTCACGTGTAAAATATCTGAATTACGGGCTTTACCAATGGGTAAACCGTAACAGTTGCCTCCGCTTCAATCTTAATCGCATACTTTCGGAGCTGAACATTCCTTTCCGCTTTTCGCGTTCGCGCCTATAGTGCAAGCCTCCGCGAGCGCGTGCCTCTTTTAACAGCGCTCTTTCGTTTCTTTTTCCAGGCGATGTCCCGTATAAACCGTATATCAGCGGCGAGCCCGAGATTCGATGCGTAACTCTGGATGGCAACGAGGATTTTCTTATAATCGCCTGTGACGGATTGTGGGACTACGTCGATCAGAGAACCGCGGCGCTCCGTGTCTACCGACAGGTGTTGCAGAATCCCTGTGAGTTATTTCACTTGATTTAGTAATTAATCAAATAGTGAATTCGCGCACTACTGGATTAGTGCGTATTACAAAGGCTGCATATTACAAAGGCTGCTTTGTACCTAAGTATCTAAATACAACGGCATAATATAGGGTGTGTTCCGATATAGACTGCCAGTGCTGGCAGTACTGAAAAATCGTTCCATTATTAATGCGCAGCGCACTGCGACATTATCTAGTAACATCAATAACGTCATAAATGGTAGCCATGTTGTCACTGCGACTACTGCAGCTTTCGAGGTGAGACAGTCGCAGTGTAGCACTTTAAATTTGTTCTAAAATACGACGTTACAGCAGTGCTGACAGTACCACAGTAATTTTGAAACAGCTGCGGCGGTACACTGTTATGACGTCACGTTTACTGCACTGCCAGTAAAAACGGAACATACCCATAATCAATTTTTTAACGTTTTTAACTTCTTTAAAGATTGCTAAAAAATTGATAAAGCCTGCTTTTAATGCATCCCAGCATTTAAAATATCATATTTTTAAGTTTATTATAATAAACTTAAAAATTTTATTAATTTATAATATAAATTAGAAAATAAATTGACAAAAATTATCGTAAAGTTGTATAATATGTTGCCAGAAATTTTTGGCAGCCACGGATGTTCTGTGTTAAACATATTCTTCTTCTTTCTCTCGTTTCTGTCGCTTTCGCGAATATTATTCATTTATTCAAGGATTTACCTCGTGATTCAATTTTATTGTGATCAACCAAATGAAGACGCTATTAAGTGAGAGTTGAAGACTTTTTAAAAAGCACTGAAGCATCACAGGTTTAATTTTCAATTAATTTTTAGACAATCTTTGGGGTACTAAAAATGTTCAAAACGAAGGACATTTTTAAAACGCAACTAATTTATATAGCTTAAGAAATTGATCTCTTTTGCGAATCGCAATAACTTTTCACGGGTAAATTCTTAGAAGATTGTGGAAGAAATTTCTTATCGAGCAATAACGAGGAGAAAATCCATTGAATATCATCGCCGGTAAGTACACCGCGTGCACGTATTCAACGTACATTGATCGATACGACGTACTTTAAGCGATAAGTATGCTCTTGCAGAAAATCCAAGTCGAATCGTTTCCATTGCCATATCGCTTGAAGCGCTCGTAGCACTCCAACGATACTATGATACTCGAGAAAGTAGGGGAAACGATGTCGTTTCGTCGGGGAATTTGTGCTAGAAAAGACGAATCTCTTTGTAATCCAGTCTCTCTCTTTTTCTCTCTTTCTCTCTCGTTATATTCGTGGCATTTACTTGCTATGCTCTGTTTCCTCGATTTCCGGAATGGACGTGACATAAAATTTGCGTATAGCATTTTGCGCGATGCGCTCTCCTGCCGATCGGTTGGCCTTCCTGATGCTTTTGCACGAAATCCACTGAAAAAGGAATCTGGTAATATCTATACCAAATATTGGGTAAGGTAATTCAAATGTTTGATTAATATAACCAAAAATAATTTCTATTTTTTCAAATATTTAGTAAATGTTACTTAAAGATTGGTTATATTATTATATTATATTTAGTAAATATTTAGGAAAACAGAATTATTTTTAGTTATATTAACCAAATATTAATTGGCATTATTTCTGAATATTTGGTGATAGCTATTACCTGCAGACTTTTTTCAGTGTACAAAGAATCGCTATAATATGCGATACTCCGAGGAAATATGACTGACAGTTCCGCTGTTTATACATGTACTGTATGACGATCGGTTCTTTTCTCGCGTAAGCTAAGCTACTTTTTTTACAACGAGAGATGAGATAGCGGGAAGAGATTGAAACAGCTGAAGTAGCAGGTGAATGAAAAATTGCCACAATTTCATGAAAACGCAGTTAGATATAAGAGCTGTTTTTTATTTTTGTTTCCAGAGGGAATAATAAAAATAAAATAAAACATTCAAATTTAAAATAATAACATTTCAAGCATTTAAAAGTGAACGATATCAGCAATTACGTAACAACGGTCATCAGTTGTATAAATTAATAATAATAACAATAATATAATTATTACACGAAAAGAATGATTTTGCTGATACGTAAAAAAATTTAATTTAATATAATAGATCCGGAAATAATTTTATTTGGAGTATCAAAATACATCTCTCAGACATGGTCAGGAATGCTACAAAAAATTTTAGCATTCTAGCAACCAGTTTGTGTAGTCATTTTGATGATCCGAACGAAAGTTATTTTCAGATCTATATTTACCTAAATTTTTAGATACTTCAATAAAATTATTTTTTCCGTGTAATGATTGTTATCATTAAAATATAGTATATACATCTGGTAATCGTATTGTCATAGAGTTGCTGATGTGCACTTTTAAACGCATCATTCCGAGTACTTCATTTTATTTTCAAAATCTGAATATTTATTATTTTATTACTTTTTATTTTAAATACAAATGTTTTATTTTATTTTTATTATTCTCTCTAGAAATGATAAAAATAAAAAACAGCTTGTGCTAGCTGCGATTTCATAAAATTGTGGCAATTTCTCATTCATCTGCTATTTCAACAAAACCTTTCTTTCCGTATGGATATTCAATGTATGTGTCCCCAGATGTATGCTTTATAAATATAAATCTTTCTTCTGATTCTTTGTTTAATTTTGAGTTTTTAGTAACAAAAATATCGATCTGCATGAATTACAAATGAATAGTGCTTAAAATATAAATATTCTCGAGAAAGAAAAGTTTACTCGGAATCGGTCAAGTGCAGTAAAAAAGAAATGTGTCCGAGATACTCGGTACATTTCAGATAGTTGATAGATACGGTATCACGTGTACTTGATGTTTGACACTTATATTGCAAACGATATATTTCCTAGTAACAGCAATCTTCAGCCGGACGGAAGCAATAAAGTCGATAAATCTTTTCCGGAATCCAACGTATTTCTTTTACTGTATATAAACTCGTAATTGAATCATCGTTCTTGTCTTAATACAAGACACTGTCTCGAAAACGTTGTAGACGTCTTCTCGACTGCTTCGTTTTGTTTTTTTTTTTTTTGCCTTACTAGTGTCGAAGGGAGATCTGTCGAATGTAACGCAAACTCGGTGCTCGCCTTTTCCTTCGTTCTCGAGCAGGCAGGCCGATCGGCACAAGCTTGGCGGCTTCTCCGATCTCTCACTCGCTCGTCATCCGTCTGCACGGTCGGCCGTCTCTCTCCCGTTTCGCCTTTTCCTCGGGACATTTTCCCTTCGATTAATTTTTCGCCGCGAGCTCGCGTCTCGCGTCTCTCAGTTGGTGACTCAGTGATTCACAGTGATTCATAGTGCCTCTAAGGAGAAAGACCTCGAGGAGAATATTAGGAGTCCGATCGATTGCCTTCGTACAAATTCGCCCTGGTAAGTCGCGGATTATCCGCAATCAATTAACTGTCAAGCGCGAATAACGATAAAGAATGGCAGACAGGGAAGGAAAAAATTCTCTCTAGTATCTTTAAGAGAATTTTTTGAAAAAGCTGTTAAATAGCAAAATCAATGTGAAGTTATCATTAAGAAATTGTAGTTATTAATTTATTCGGTTAATGAATAATTGAAAATCTAGGTAAATTAGAAACTCGTGACAAATTAACTTAAGTTGTTAATCTATTATTTATGATAATTTAAGACTTTTTATAGAAACAAGTAGATATTTATATAAGAGTATATAATTTATAATTAATGATTATATAAGACTAATTATTGTAAACTATTATCGATTCCTGAATTTTTAAAGCCTATTTTATCATTCTTGAAAACACTACTGGATAGCAAAAATTCTTATAAAATCTAATAGTTATAGATTTTAGAAATTGTAATTATGTAGAAACTGTAATAGAATATTATTTAGAAATTATTAATTTTTATATTTCTACGAAATTAAATGTTGAAATTTAATTGGAAAATAATTGAAAAATTATTAAACGAATTAATTTTGTTTACTATTTTTTCAAAAACGTTATAATATATAACGTTTATGTATATTAATCTTTGATCATCGGGAAATTATATCATGCTTGCTCAGTCAACTCGCTTATTTAATGACGACGCCGATTATCTTCTAGAAGACCTCGTCGTGTCCGATATTGCTTCGAAATTAGATATCTATCGGTCACGGACATCGACATCGATTGCGTCCGTACGCGTGATGCGCATAGAATCGCGAACAATCGCGGCTAAATGCGCGCATAAGGTGATGCAATTTGACTCTGTCTTCTGATTGTGAGAGCAAGGCAAAAAGATAGAGAGAGAAAGAGAGAGAGAGAGAGAGAGAGAGAGAAAACTCAAAGTAATCGAGCGATCGACGCTGCGCGACAGACGTTTTCCCAGCAACGGTACCGTGCACACTCATCGAAAGGAGTCCGGAAATCTCTCCCCTCTCGCGAAACTACCGTATCGTCCGTTGCGTCCGCGAAAATATGCCTCCCCGTTAGGAAGTGCGCGATTATCGTCGCCATCCTCCGCGCCGACGTAATCTTTCTTTCGCGCTTTTCGCACATGGAATTTGAAAATTACGTAAATGCCAGATCCCACCACAATTTCTATATAGAGAGCGCGTTGCACTATAACGTTGGAATACTGTACTGAATTATATTTGTTGCAATACTTGTAATAATACAGCAAATTCGTTTTAATACACCAAAGATAACTTTTAACAGACTTAACAAGATTTTTAACGAAACATGCTAAGGTAGCCCGTAACTTTTGCTGCTGTAATAAAGAAAACTTGCTGTTATTGTATCAAAAAATTAGCTAAGTTAATATACTGATAATTGCTTACAGATACATAATTTCTTTATTGAATCATAAAATTTTGTTAGTTTCAGATATTGAACTCATCCAATAAACTAGCTTTGCTGAACCATCCAATCTATTTTTTTCCATATGCGTTTATTTTCGTTGCAGCAAAATTTTCAACGCGATTCAGAAAGCGATCTATTTTTTTCTCTTCAATGGTCGGAGCAACAATAGCTTTTTTCAATCGTAAATGAGAATGAGAGACTTTTCACGAATTTAACTGTAGTAGATTTGGATAATTGTATCTTGTTTAAATTAAATTAAATTGAATTAAATTAAATTTAAACAAGAAATAATTGTTATTTTATCCAATTTAATTGAAAAGTCTTTCGTTCGCAATCGATTGAAAACAATCTATTGTTACTTTGATTGTTTGTCGAGAATAATTATTATAAATTAAATTAAATTATGCTATTTATGATTGTAAATTCATTTTTAAAAGTGATGGAATGGGTTTTGATAATACAAGAATCTATACACATTAATGGCTTAAGTACTTAATCTATGAAATATAAATTGTGTTATCTTAGTGTTTTTATATGGATCGCTCAGACGATCACGAATAATAGATTAATGACTTAAGTTGATTTATCCGATTCGAATCCCTAATTCACTCGAAGCTTCAATTATTCGTCAACCAATAGACTAAAGCACGTATCACTTATACGTCTGGACTCTCGACTAATAAATATTGTAGTTGGGGGTAGGCGATATATGTGACAACCGATGGAATGTGCCGATCCCTTCTCGCTTTACGCGGATCTCAGAAGCGTAAAGGCCAATACTCATATTGCACGGTGAAAACTTCGGAGGAGAGAACTCAGAGAACGCAACGTGCGTAGCATTAAGGATCTTCTCTATCCATCTCACGTTCCCATAATTGTTAATTCGGGAAAGCGAGTACCGTGCGAGTAGCGCGCGTGCATTGATGAATCCAGAAATTTGTCAAATAAGACCATTGTCGCCTGCACACAACCGACATTTTTCTCTTAAGATCAAATGTGAAAACGCGATATAATATTAAATTATTATATTAAAAAAGTATAATTTAAATATATAATTTATGAAACGTTTTATTTAAATTTATATTAAAGAAGAGCAATGCAATAGCCTTTGTTTTTTATATATGCATCTAAAAGTTTCTCGAATTAAAAAATATTTTTAGCATATCAAAATTGTGATTAAGCATTTCAGAAATATTAAAAATATACATATAGCGATACATTTTCTACAAATATTTTTAAAAGAGGAAATTCCAAGAAAGGTCATGGCCCTCGTAATCTTCCTCCCCTATAGATCCGTCAGCGCACGCACGAGACGGTTTCTTATCTTTGTGTCAATAATTTGTACGTGCGACGCATTTAAAATTGACTTCGACGACATTTTTCGGAAAGCACGGTGAAAGAAGAAAAGCCTTGGTGGCTGACAAGCGAGCAACGATGGTCACGCAGCATCCCGAAGAAATACGTCGGAGATTCCGTCACGCTCTGACGCATCGTTGACATGACTGCACATACAGCTCCGACACATAGTCCGCTCCTTATTTTAAATAACGTTCTGAATCACACGGGGGCGCATAGCGCTTAAATCCACGATGACAGCATAGCCGTCGGTACGTGAGTCGCATCTGCTTATATACCGAGACGTAATCTTGTGCAATTTGTCTCGATGAAGTCGTATCTTGGTAGACATAGACGAGTTTATTACGTTACAGTAATTATATTATTCAATTTGTATGACAAATGACCCGGAATGTCAATTTTATAGATTATTGATTTAAAACAAAGAAATGTTGATAAATTGAATAACAGCAGCTTTTATTTACATGAGCGACGCAACGAAATCGTTCTAATTTTATTATCTATAGAACGTAGAAATAAAAAATTTAATTTGCTACCAATTTGGCATATCGTAAAATAAGATAATTCTGGAATTGCATTTAGATTGTAAAAATTTTATTTGTATCATCATATTTTTACATGTAGCCGAATTTTGTTAGAGATTTTGTTGAAATAAATCTAAAAATTCGCAGTTAACTAAATATCTGAAAATTATTTTATTAAATCATTAAAATAATTATGAAGAAAACTCAAACATAATAAGTAATGCAAAACAAACGTTGATATTATAATAATCAGCTTGAGTATCCTATATAATTATTTTCATAATTGATTTGTTTTAACAAAATTACTTTCAAATACTATATTCAAAGTTTTTCTACTCAATTAAACTAATAACACATTCATTTGGATATAAATTATAAGAATTGCTTTAATATCGGTCGCAATTCAAAGTGGTCAGTAGTCGTAATCAGGGACTTGTACTCCAATCCAAATTTCGCTTTACTTTTATTAGCGGACTACCGTCCGGTTTACAATTTTCTCAGGTAATAAATGATTAACGAAACCGATTCCGTTTAATTTCGACTAATTGAAATCTCCGGAATAGACGCAGTGTAGCTCGGGCTCCTCTCGGCGCGGCGCATGGCAACAGTGCAACGGCGTTAAAAGATCGCAATAAGGCATTAAACAAAGGAATCCGGGAGGAGCTGAACCAAGACCGCGGTTACTGAAGCGAAACGCCTGGAGCGTTTCTTCGTCTCGAAAGGATTCGTTGGAGAACGAGGCTCTGAAGGAATGGGGGAGGATAAGAAGGAGAGAGGGACGCCAAGTGGGAGGAAGGGGGTACCCATTCACAAGACGTCGCACGAAAGGTGAAATTTGGGTTACACCAGGTCCTTCGCCTCATTATCGTGCTGTACTCGATCTATTAACGATTCGTTCTGAGACATCTCATCCCCTTTCATCTCCCTGTTATCATCCTGGTATGTTAAACAGGGTTAATAAAAGATAATGTTTTTTTTTCAAAGAGCGAAACATTATTTATTTAACATGTTTTTAAATTCATACGTGCTTTAAATAGTATTACGAAAAGCAACATGTTTAAAACATATTAAGAACATCGATTAAATATGTTTTAAATAGATTTATTAAAGATTGACTTTGCTAAAATAAGATCTTTGCAATAAAATTATTTGCAGATTTAAGATTTTTATTAACACATCTAATTATATAGTAATATTCTTATTAAAAAATGCTTATTAAAAGAATTATTGAATTTTCAATTTAATAAGTGATATTATTACTCCAGTTCTGTTTATGATTTTCAGACCGAAAAAGATTTCGGTGCACAGTTTGTTGAATCAGATATGTATAAATTCATAGAAATTAAGCACTTTGACCAGATATAGAAATTTTCTTATTTAATTAGACTGATTAAATAATTATTCCCGATTATTAAAAAATTATTGAAATTGACCAACTCTATACAAGCTTGTCAATTATTGTAGTTCAATTGACATTAATTGCCCTTCGTGGGATAGTTTTCTGAGTTCGTAACATTATAATTTCCAAGCGGCTTTTTTCTTTTCCGACATTACATTCGCAGAAAGAAATATCTTATTATCTAGAAAGATCTGTAAAGGGAAGCTACTAAATTACGATAGTGAGGTTCGAAGAACCGACGCGAGTGAGATCGTTATTGGACGTCGGTGCACCGCGCGAGGC